GACTGCAAAAAAGACAAATTAAAAGTATTTTTTTATTTATTATAAGCCAGTGCTTGACCACAATCCCACCTGGTGGTAAGTGGTGATGCAGCAATAGATGATAAATCGCACTGTCTTAGCGTAACAGAAGCCTATTCACTCTTGCCTTGAAGACGCCTAGATTGTATTCGGACGGAAAAATAGACGCCGGAAAATTATTCCACTACTTTGCTGTACGCATTACAAAAGTCAAACCGTTTGGTTCTAATGCGTGGAATATCGACAACAAAGGGGGGAACCCCCGGATACCCTCCGACCGCCTGGTCGTCCGATGCTGGAAAGGAGAGGGAGGAATTAAAGCATGTAATTCCTGCGCACACTCACCGATTTTTTTTTATTTAAACTTTTTTAAACATTTTTATTTACATAACATAATATACAATATTTTATTATATACAATATTAAAAACTATAATAATAATTAAAAAAAAACTAAAACTAGAAACTTAATTATCATATAGTCCTACTCCCCGCGGTATCGTGTCAAGAACGCTGGCTGCGTTTCCCCGATGAATGGCTATACTTAGCCTTTGAGCGAGAAAAGAACCAGCCCTCTTATCACCAGCAGCAACGACCAGGCGCGGATGGAGTTCCTTTAGAACTTCACCGCACGTGGACCCCACGGACCGATAGTCTCTACAGCAAATGGCACAAATATGTAGTCATCTCTCAGAAACTCATATTTGCGCCACTTACTCAGCTCAGTTGCCTCTGATGCCGCCCCGGATCTAAACGAGGTACCCCTGAGATGAGAGCCCGCCAGAGTGTCTACGCAAGTAGCATCCCACACTAGGGCTTTACCTCTCTCCCAACGGACCAATGTCATACCGTCGGGTGTCCTGCCATCGTCTCTAAATATTCCACAAGGTTCTAAAACCGAGGTAACATTTATAGAGACAAGAGCCCTCGGATGACATCGTTCAAAGGACTGTGTCGTGAAAACCTACCAGCGCTTTTCTTACATGAATGTACGATGCTACTACAGGGGCACTGATGGAGTTGATAAATCGCCGCTCCTAGTCGCATTCCTACGACAATGCGCAAGCTTTCTCTATCAAGTAATACATTACAAGCTTACATGCCGAGATTACTTGACGGTAAAGCGTGTAACCAGTGACTAGATTCCTTAGTCGAAACAGCTAGAAGGCGTGCCTTATCTTGGTCACTATGGAAATTATGAAACAAATCTTTCTGCACGCCCTGTACCAACGGAATATCCCACTGCTTTTGTTGGCTAACTTCCAGTGGAACATTTTCACCGGGACAGAGCGTTTGCCATGTCTGCTCTGCCTCCGTAGCAAAGCACAGGTCTACTTTATTATTTAAAATTATGTTACATAAGTCATTGACACTATGCACGGAAGCAAGGAAAGCAGGCAATGCAACGCTAGAAAAATTTCTCACACCAATACCACCAAATTTTAGAGGTAGTATTTTAAGTAACTTGAGTCCAGGCTGTTGTATTTAAAGTTAAATTTAGAATTTTTTCTATAGCTATTTTAAAATTATTACCAATATCTTTTAAAATTTTCGAACATTTCCAGATTGGACTCGAGCAGAGTAAGTATGTAAATCTAGGTACAAGAAGACAATATTTTAAAATAGTAAGAGCTATGCGGGGGTTTAATTTATAAAATTTATCAATGTGGTTTAAAAACTGATCAAATTTTTTTTTTTTTTTTTTTTTTTTTTTTTTTTTTTTTATAAGATAAGGGTGACAAACGAGCACACAGTCCACCTGATGGTAAGTGGTTGCTGCGGCCCATAGACATCTACATCTATCCTCGCTTGCGAATCAAAATGCAGATGCGTTGTCACCCGTGAGGACTAAGATGGAATGCCTCATTTCCAGTAAAAAGGGCCTCCGGCCACCTGCACTCACCAAGCGAAACGCAGAGGTAAACCTCTACTTCACGCTGGTATTCTGTGAGGTCGTGGTACCACCCCGGATCGAGCCGGCCCATCCGTGCAACAGCGAAAGCTGCGCGTGGCTCTACCACTGTTTAAAACAGGTTTAATACTATCGAAAAACAACGTGACACCTAGCAGGTATAGTGATTCCGTATTGACAGTTTTTATTCCTGGAGAAACATGGTTGAAATTTTGAATTAAAGTGTCTCTATGAGAAGTAAATAAATTATTGGAAAAAAATATTTCACATTTATTGCTATTTGGTTCAAGACCAATATTTTTAAATTATGAGTAAGATCATTGAGGACGTCATCTGCTCTACCTCCCAGTGTACCGTGGTCCAGGTACCAGACATTCAGCTTGGATTTCAAATTTGAAATAATGGGTTGAATTCCCAAACTGAAAAGCGCTGGACCTAGTGGGTCACCTTGCTGAACACCGACATTAGAATCGATAACATGGTTTTCGTAAAACAAGATAGTATTTTGACTTTAACATTGCCAAACGTAATGATACATTTCTGGGATACTGACCGAAATGCTTCCTATAGAAAACCGAGAGGCTGGCTAATCGGCGCCTGTGCTTGAGGCTGACAAGGTTGGTTTCAACCGAATGTAGGTCACCAATCTCTTAGATTATAAAATACATATTATGGTTTAATTAAAATAAATATAAGGTGACTAAACCTTAGTCTGCTTGCAAACTTTAACATGTATTAATTACTTCTAGCTTCTGATTGCGATAGTTATGGAGCTATTTCATATACTGGTTACAGCAACTTAATAAGCACAGGCAGCTGTCCATATAAAATACCAAGATAATTCACGAGTTCACCGTTTACACACGTACTAGACGATTTCCAATCCAACAGGTTGTCTATCATATTTTCACATATAAGATTTAGTTTAGAAATTGATCGTTATTAAGCTTACAATATTTTATAGAATAAAAGTGACAAACGAGCGTACAGTCCACCTGATGGTAAGTGGATGTTGTGGCTCTTATATACTCTACATATCAAAATACAGATGCGTTGTCACCCCGGAGGACAAAATTAGAATGACCCTTTGTCTTGTTTCGTTAACTTTTTTTATAGTATAATAGTGACAAAAGGGGCATAGATTTCACTTTATAGTAAGCGAATGCTGTGGCCCATAAACATCTTCATCTTCGATTCAGGTTCAAAAGGTGTTACCACTTATCACCCTTGAGTACCACGATAGAATACCTTGTTTCGAGTAAAAACAGTCTGCGGTAGTCTATACTTACGTATGGTAATAATAGCATTAAGCGGCTATTTTACGTAGGTATTCTGTGAAAGCGTAGTCCTTCCCCGGACGAGCTGACTCATACTCGTACACGCTACAACCATAACATAACCGCATCGTGGCTCTACCACGTTATGAATTACATTTACAACTTATAATATTCTCTATGTGATTTCTTATATTTACGCGAATACTACACATTGAATAAAAATGTTTACGGATTTTATCGCGTTTAATTTATTTATTTTAATTCCCGACGTTTCGGGTGCTTTACAGTAACCCAACGTCCGTGTTTGACGTCCCGATGTCATAGTTAGCCCGGCTACCTTCAGTTTTTGAATATAAATTTTTGGTTCAATCTAAGCAGAATGATCTTACAGTATTTTGAAGTGGTATGCTTGGGTATGGATTTAATTTTGTTAATTATAGGACCCCAAGCAGCATCCAGTCATCTTCTCTATTGAAATTAGGATGTTTTTTTTTAATTTCAATAGCCTCGCGTATCATCCTTGGTAGGAATCGGTGTTCCTTTGCGAGAATTTGTGGTCTATTAAATCTGATGTAATGCCAGTGACAATCTTGAACATGTTCACAGATTGCGGACTTCCCAGAGCGTCGGTACCTCACGTAGATCTTTTTGTTTTTCCTATTTTAGAGAGACCACATTCGCAATCAAGCTTGTAACACTCCTGCATCTTGTAGAGGGATATTACACTTGAAGAATGGTAAAACTTGACTAATCTTTTTCGGCGGCTTGAATACAAGAGGTTGTAGAGACTGAATTGAATAGAATATATTTTTATTTAATATACGTTATAAATAATAGTTATAATAAGTCATTTTTTTAATTTTACCACTGGTTCGAAAAAAAAGCCTCTGTCCTTGGAAGAACCAGTTAGAAGCTCAGCGGGACTATTTAAAATTAATCGATGATGATCCCGTGTAGTGAAAGAATATACTCTAACCCATTTCGTCATGTGGGTGTTGTAAGAAGCGACAGAAGGAAAAAAGAAGGAGAAGGAGAAATTGAACAGGAGTTGGGCAGCAGCATCTTTTTGATAACAACTCTAATAATAATAATTAAAAAAAACTGCGATTGCCTACCCTTTTGCTAACCGTGGCAACTAAGACAAATTCCGCCTATGAGGAACTCTATGAGGGAACTCTATGAGGGAACTCTATGAGGGAACTCTATGACGGAACTCTATGAATGAATGTATAAAAATTTGTTTGTGCTCGTAGCTGATAAACTCTGGCGAGACCCTGTATCGAACCCGCGCGGTTCTCCTACTGAATTATCTTATGAGTTTGAAGTAGAACTTTTCGCACTGTCGGCGTAGTGTAGGAATTAGTTTTTCGACATTAACCTAATTTCAAGGGAAAGTCTGTGGTACCGTTCAGAGATTAAAGGAAGAAAAATCAGAAGTCATAAAGAGTACCTAAAATAAATCAAATCGCTTGCTGGACCTCATATTTCCAAAATATATTTTCGCCTTCAGTGAATAAAAAGGTCATAAATATTAAATACAACATATTATTATGATACCCATTCATAAATATTATAAAAAGAAACATTTTCTAATCTTGGTAAAACCCGGATGGTGTTCTATGTTATGGTTATCGCTATAATAACGTTAAGCGATTATTTTAGATGGCCAGATATTTATAAATTGCGCGGAGTTAATTAATTAACTTTTGAATTGGTCGCTTTATATTTTAGTTTCTCTGTTCAATTTACCTATTACCTTGCACTAACTGGAAGTGGCCATTCCACTCTCAGTTCAGTAGGCGTTTGGCTTGGCTTTCGAACGGTACTGGCCGATGTGAGGGAAAGGAGCTGTCAAACTATTAGCGCCATTTCTCGTGCAGTTCGACGTTTGCGAAACATTACATATTATGTTTATTTCTGTGCATTAGTGCTATTAACATAGCATTTTCTTGTGATATCATTAACGTTTTCTTAATAACTGGATTAATTATATTAACTACGTAGAAGGGCTTGATAAAAAAAATTACACTTAGTTCGGTATGAACGTGAGATAGTGTAGTTTTCAGTGAAAGTGAGGACGAATTTTGGATATTTTTACAAAATGAAGCCCGCTCTGAGTTATTGGGGTGGACTTTTTATTGCTTTGGCAGCTTTTATTGGTAAGTTTAGTTTTAACTATCTAATAATAATAAAAATATTAAAAATAGGTACATAGATATAATGTACATTTAATGTATATATACATTAAATGTACATTATATATATATATATATATATATATATATATATATATAATACATTTACAATTCTACCTATTTTTATATATTAAATATATTTGTGTAACATTTTTAGCTAATCTTGGTCAATTTCTTTATTATTATTTAGGAATATTCATGTACAAAATTGCGTTTTTTCCCTCCTCTATAATATGTACAATAAGGCTTTATATAAACTATTACCATTTATTAGATTTCCTACAGCATATTCTACAGTTATAATCGGTTCCAGTTTTTGTTGTGACATTATGTACATAACGAAACTCATGCGAAATTCTGAAACATAAATATTTATCAAGTCGTCATGGTATTTGTTAAAACGTGAAAGCGCGTTATTTTTGACAGTTTCTTGCGTTATGCTAACGTTGTACACGTTTCTAAACTTCAATGTCTTTGGTATTAAATTATGATTTTTTTTTAATATTACACCATAATGATCATCATCATTACATCCCATCATAGTCCGCTGCTGAACATATTTGCCATAGTTGCAACACTTGGCAGCCGGAGCGGTAACACACAATTTTGTTTTGTAGTTGTTATTAGGAAGACACTGCTGCCCATGTCCTGCTTTATTTTTTTTCTTCCAGTTCTAAGTGCATAATACATACAATCGCAAACTGCCAAACTGTGAACACAGTTTGTCGGGAGCAGTTCTCGTGGATACACATATTAATGTACTAATTTTATACACAACACAAAAAAAGGAAAAATTAAAGTAAAATACAATAAACAAAACTTATTTTCTCTCTGTCGCATCTTAGGTACCCACGGGGTAGTCGATATTCTTACACCGCTAGTACCCCGAAGAGCCGTGGTAGCCCAGACGGTTAGCGCTCGCTGTAAATGTCACAGTATGCGAGCAAACCGGGTTCGATCCCCGCCGGTACCAATGAAATTGTTAATTGCAATTTTAAGTGTTGATTTACCACGTGCTCGGCGGTGAAGGAAAACATCGTGAAAAAACCTGCATTTTAGAGAAATAAGAAAAAAATATTTCTAAGATATGTGAAGTTCGCCAACACGCATTGGAGGACACTTCCTTGGCCTAAAAATCCTTGCTGAAATGAGGGGAGGCCTGTGCCCTGCGGTGGGACGTATAGACGCAGGTTGTAACTTTAATTTTTCAACAAACTTTTAGTACACGGTTAGCTAATAGCTATATATTGTACCGACATTAAACTAAATCTTCGTCAATTTTTCATTCTTGGTCGATAAAATTTAAGAAGGCGCGGTCGTCGACCTTCGCGTGTTTCGTATACACGTAAAACACCACCTGTGTATATGTTGTAGAGTCAGTTGAAATGTTATATTTATATAGGTACTTAATAAAACAGCAGTTGGTTAGTTAACACTTGACAAAATCATTGATAAACAACTTTGAACTCTGAATTTGCTACTCTTTGAAGTGTCTTAAAACTTGGTAAAAACTAAATAGTTAAATAAGATTTAAAGTAAAAAGTATAAAGTACAAACATAATATATAGATCTCACAGACATTTTCTCATTTCTGAGAGGAGGTATATCCTCAGGCCCTGTTTATGGGAAACGAGACATTCTATCTTAGTCCTCAGGGGTGACAACGCATGTGCATTTTGATTCTTAACCGAGATGTCTATGGGTCACAGCATCTACTTACTATCACGCAGACTGTGTGCTCGTTTATTACCTATATTCTATATAAAGAGGGTTTTTAGGGTGTCTATCGCGCTGCCACAATGCGTGTTGGCGGACACATTTCTTTGGAATATTCTTTATTTCACCACAGGTTCACGCATGATGTTTTCCCTCACCGTCAAGATTTATTTCTTCAATGTTTTATTGGTCCTTTTCTATATAATAAAATTAATCGAATTATTAATATACATCCTCTTAATAACTACAATTGCAAAAAAAGGTTGACAGTTTGGCTTAAATCACAAACCTATGATGACATTGAAGATCTATTTACAATAATAAAATGAGCTGAGTTCTAAAATTTAAACTTAAATTAAAATAAAACACTTTTAAATAATTATAAGCACCTTATTAGCATGATATCACAAAGTAGTAATTTGTAAAGCATTTAAGTGTACATCCTATGTTAATTTACTTTAAGGAAGAAACTAGAATTTAAGACACAGGCTTGGCCTAGTTTAAATGTTTTTTTTTTAATTCTTATCTTTTAGTGTACACTCTTCGTTCCAATTTACCAAATATTAAAATTTAATTAAATAACATTTCAATTATCTGTATAATTAAAGACACAACATAAATTAAATTCTAAGAAATGTTCACAGTCTTAGTGGTGTAACTTGTTTTTTGTTCGAATGAAACAACATCTTATGCATCCAAGTATCTATTGATTAAAAAAAAATTGTACTACCCAAAACTTTAATCTTAAGGATAAGATAATAAGTGTGTACCATATTTTGTTTTATCAATAAACATTATTACATATTTCATTATTACATTTTAAATACAAGCAAATAAGTCATATACCTAATCTCTACAAAAAATCATTCAGTTAACAAAGCACCTCAACGAAAAAAATATTGAGATGCTTTAGTCCTTGTTTTTTAGATTTCGACAGACGTCAATGCCAATTTCATCTTGTGCGATTTGTCATTTGGCAGCTCAATAGTGCAGTGGCTGAAAGTTAGTGCTTCGGCCCGGAAGTTCGATTCCCGCATACAAAAGATATTTTTATGGCTCACACATGATAGTACCTGGTGTGACAGTTTCTATTTGAGCAAATTGTGTATGAAAAACACACAATACAGGAGAAATTCCCAGTGTCGGGTGACGCTTTATAAATTATTTCACATGATTAATTACTGGACAATATTGGAAATGTAACTAATGCAGTAAGTACATCGGCATCATTTACACTAACGACCTCATCGCTATTTTTGGCAATCAAACGTAACGATTTCTTTGAAATGTGAAATAATTAACATGATATGGGAATGACGTTCAAAGGAAGATTGCGTAATCTTGCGAATTCTACGCTACTTTAAGTGAGCAATTCTTGTAGTATACACGTAAAGTGCTTTATATATATAATTAATTTCAATATTATATGTAGTATAATATGTGATGAGGGCATCCACAACTTTTTTTGCCACCAGGGCAGCGCCACTAGAAAGTGAGGTATAATATTTGACAGATTTCATAGCGGGGAAGTTAATTTGTTCGGAAAATGTAAAGGTTATTGTTTCTTTAAGTGTAAGTTTTCCGTTACGACCTTAGGGGCTATAAGGCAGCGAGATGGAATAATATCCATCTCCCTCGCATTTTTTCTTATCTTGCCATGAAAGATAAATTATTTTAAATGACGCTAATTCGTTTATCAATAATAATATATTACGAAAGGAATTTCGGTCCAACCGAGTGTTCCACGACACTCACGTATGTTTTTTTTCCTTATTCTATGATATAAGAAAAAGTACCTATTCATTTTTGAGATTTCCTCACTTTTCAGAATTGTATTTACTTAACAGTCCTGTATTGCAAAATTCAATTTTAAGTTACAGATATTGTATACAGGCCTACCCCCATTGCTGAGAGTTTTAGATTAGTCCGCCGTTCTGCTCCCGTACGTGCTGAGAAATTAAAAAAAAATTACCTCGATTTTTTTTTAATTTCACAGACATATACGTTACCTAAAGATGTTTACTTCTATCAAGTACATAGTAAAGCAACACATAAGAATAACAACAAATAAGAATTTTAGTGGAGTCAACTGCGATAGAATTATGTTTGATCGAGTTGGTACCGTAGTAACATATGTAGCTTCCACGACAATAGGTATATATTTCTTTTTTAAAAACATTACCCCCACACTAGGATTTTCTCCTGTATCGTGGAGGCAGTTTACAAACACAAATTGCACAAGGACAAACATCCAGACCCCGAAAAATTATTGCAAGCCATACAAATACTTATTCCGTGCGGGATACGAACTCGCGGCCCCCAGCGCAGCAACTCATTGCTAAGCCACTGCGCCACGGAGCCTTCAATATATTATTATTACTTAACAGACCAGCAGTTGAAACAGCTGATATACGCCCGTATTCTATTTTCAAATGTGTAATTATTCTATTTTAGTTGTTGATCTAATCTGTTCTTGAATTGGTTAATAGTTTGTGCAGATATCACTTCTGATGACAGATTATTCCATGCTTCAACCACTCTTTGGCTAAGAAGTGCTTGTGTGGGTTATTATTCGACATGGCTTTAGTTAATTTGAAGTGATAAGAGAGTAGGTAAGGGTAAAGACTTTAGTAATTAGAGTTAAGTTCATAATAAAAAGTAGTCTAATCAAGAGTGACACGTCTCTTTTCTCACTGACGCCTTTCCTGCATTAAATGGCGACCCTGCTACGTGGTGCGCTGCGACAATGCACGCGCACCGTCGCGCCTAGTTAAAAGGCTTGGCGCTTAGCTCTTATATTACCAACAATAATAATGTTATCCAGTCCAAATTTCGGTCACGGTGGCGAGTCTTAACTAAGATAACTAATTTCCGCAGGACAATATTAAATGGACGAGTGTGTGCGCAAACACAGGTGCACTCTATATTCCTTTACTTTCAAAGTCCGTCCGGCAACCCGGTAGGATCGGAGAGATGCCAGACGACAAAAGGTTTTCATGCTTTCCGAGGCACGGCCGTGAAACACCGTCACCTTCCTGGCTCTGGTGTTTTACTCAAAATTTCTTGACAGTAAAACTAAATAACTGATTTTGGCCCCTCCCAGGATTCGAACTCGGGACCACGTGATTGACAGTCGCACTTACGATCACTTGACCAGGCAGTCAGCTCTGAGCTACTTCAGCTCGTATGTCAAGAAATCCTTAGTAGCAGCCCATAGTCAGGAAGTTAGTGGTATTGCACTCCCGCGA